GGTATATAATTGTGGGGCGTTTGTGTGAAGGTGCTTGCCTGCCCTCGAGTTAAGAGACACACTTTTTTTTTTTTTTGTGGGTCGACGTTGGAGTGCGGTGTCCAAGGAAGTAGGATGAAAGAGGGAACGCAGAAGGTCCAAATTTAAAGGTTTTCTTCCCTCTTCTCCTTCACCATTCCAGAACCACAAAATTAGAGATAGTCATTCCTTTAAATACTGGAATCTCAAATTTTTGTGAATGGCCCGTAGGGATTGTCGGGGAGAGAAAACGTACAAGGAGAAGAAGGAAATAAAAAAAAATATATAAATAAGGATCCCTAGAAGTTCCTTTCCTCGTTTTAATTTTAAAAGGCGATTTGGCAATTGCTGATAGGCTGCCTTGCTAGAGGTGCGTATTAGAAAGGGACGCAGGTAAGTTGCAGAACAGGATTGTGTTTGGCATTGAAAAAATAATTATGAAAAGTCAATATCCTGCACAGTTCACGCTTGAGTTCCTTACAACATTAGGGGTGTATAAGTTGCCATCGTCTCTGTTTTTCACTTCTGCAACTGTTCCAGTTACTTAATGCTTTCTAAAGAGCCAGGCGTGCTCTCGGTGCTTTACTCATCCTTTACAAAAGGGGAATTAAGAGAGGGTTGAAAATCTCTAGGGTTGATAGCAATGCTTTATTGCTGCAATATTTTGCTCCTGGACCAACTGCTGAATGCAGGTAGTCCTCGACTTACAACAGTTCATTTAGTGACCGATCCAAGTTACAACGGCACTGAAAAAAAGTGACTCATTTTTCACGCTTAAAACCGTTGCAGCGTCCCAATATTCACGCGATCGAATTTCAGATGCTTGGTAACCGACTCACATTTATGACGGTTGCAGTGTCCCGGGGGGTCATGTGATTTGGCGACCTTCCAACAAGCAAAATTAATGGGGGAAGCCAGATTCACTTAACAACCGTGAAGTAACTTAATTATTATTAATATATTATTAAATTAAATATAATTATTAACTTAACCTCAGTGACTCAGCTTAACAAATGCGGTGAGATAGGTTGTCTTGCTTAGCAACAGAAATTTTGGAGTCGGTTGTGGTCGTAAGTTGAGGACTACTTGTATTATGCTCCCAGACCAACTGCTGAATAGATCAAAATGATCTCCTGGACTTACTAGATCCTTACAGGCCTTTCTGTAGCACTTATTTTATAAGATCAACTAATGTTAAGATCCAAAGTCCTAACATTACCTGCATCTTAGCTCTGCTGCTTACTGTGTAAACCTCATTAAATTTTCCAATGCAAAACCATCTATCCTCCACTACTATCTTGTAGTAACTACTATCTATCTATCTATCTATCTATCTATCTATCTATCTATCTATCTATCTATCTATCTATCTATATCTCCTACGTATCTATAGCTAGCTAGCTATCTACCAGTATCCATCCATCTCTTTCTCTCTCTCTCCTATCAATCTATTTCTTTCTTTCTATCTATCAATTTATCTACCGGTATCCATCCACCCATCCATCCATCCATCTCTCTCTCTCTCTCTATTTATCTCTATCTATCTATCTGTCTGTCTATCTGTCTATCTATCTATCTATCTATCTATCTATCTATCTATCTATCTATCTATCTATATCTCCTATCTATATCTTATCCATACCTTATCCATCCATCCATCCACCCAGGTTACAAAGAAACTACCCAACACTTTGGAAACAGACAGGACAATTGCTTATCAAGATATCACGTTCTGTCGGTTTAGAACAGGGCTTGCCAAGTTAAATCGGCCTTTTAAGTAGGTTTCGTTTCTTGCGTGGGCTGTGCGATCTCTGCTTGTGGCTTGCTCCTTAATAAGTGGTTAGTATAGAAACCATTCTGAGGTTACTTCTGACTAATTCCCAACGGGGGTGAGTTGGACGACTCAGAAGTTTGCCAACTTCCGGTCCCACCAGAAGGCCTGTTTTTCACTCTCCCCAGGCTCCAGAGCCTTTCTAGGAGGCTGGGGAGGGCGAAAATGGCCTCCTCCCCCCCTCCCCGGAGGCCTTCCAGAGGCCAGAAACCGCCTTTTTCCTGACTTCCGGTGGGCCCAAAAAGCCTGAAAATCAGCTGGCTGGCACGTGAATGCACGCCAGAACTGAGCTCGCTTGCCCACCAATATGGCTCCGCGTGCCACAGGTTCGCCATCACGGCATTAGGGTTTATTTTCCGGTTGGGTCTTATTTTCGGGGAAACCAGGTAATTGTCAATCTCCACTTGGTGTGTGGCGGTTTGACATCCGCTCCCATTTTCGTTCCTTAAGTCAACTTATCTGAACCTCACCCATTTTTACAAATATTTGTTGGGATGTGGTCTGGCTAGCACAGCCCACTTCGGGTGCCAAAGAAACCAATTTGTATTTAACATTTTTAGCACAGTTTTATATGCCCAGAGGTTAGTCACACTAAGTTCAGTGAGCTTCGAGGTTTCCGGCTGGGTATAAAATATGACGGGCTTCATTCTATATTCCAAGAGCAATCGATTCCGCGAAATGTTACGGCTCCGTAGAAACTCACCGCCGAAAATGTGAGAGAAAAATTTAGCAGCGATTCACGCGTGTCACACGCAATGCCTTGGCGAGATTGAGTTTGTTACCTGTGGAAAAACAACAGGCCTCTTAAATGCTTGCAATTTCCAAGTTACCTAGTAAAGGGAATACTTGTGGGACATGAAATTAGGGCAGATTGTAATTAGAAGCCATTGAAAAATGTTTTGTTTTGTTTTTTTTGCTCATTGCTGTTATTCTGTTTACATCGCGCCATGACGGATAACACGAGCTCCTGTCCAGTAGGGCCTCCCAAATTCTTATTTATTTTCATTTACTTTGATAATGGCGAACAGCGTACCTCCTGCCGACGTTGATATCTCATGAAACTGTGCGTAAGGAAGTTGTAGAGGAGCTCCTCTACTTACGACAGCTCATTTAGGGACTGTTCAAAGTTACAACGGCACTGAAAAATGTGACTTACGACCAGTTTTTCACAGTTATGACCTTTGCAGCGGTCCCCATTGATCAATGTGATTAAAATTCCGACCATGGCAACTGATTCATAATTATGATGGTTGCGTGTCCCTGGGTCGTGTGATTTGCGACCTTCCGACAAGCAAAGTGAATGCAGAAGCCAAATTCACTTAACAACTGGGCTACTAATTTAACAAGTGCAGTGATTCACTTAACAACTGGGCTGCTAATTTAACAAGTGCAGTGATTCACTTAACTGGGCTGCTAATTTAACAAGTGCAGTGATTCACTTAACAACTGGACTGCTAATTTAAGTGCAGTGATTCACTTAACAACTGGGCTGCTAATTTAACAAGTGCAGTGATTCACTTAACTGGGCTGCTAATTTACAAGTGCAGTGATTCACTTAACAACTGGGCTGCTAATTTAGCAAGTGCAGTGATTCACTTAACTGGGTGCTAATTTAACAAGTGCAGTGATTCACTTACTGGGCTGCTAATTTAAGTGCAGTGATTCACTTAACAACTGGGCTGCTAATTTAGCAAGTGCAGTGATTCACTTAACTGGGCTGCTAATTTAACAAGTGCATGATTCATTAACAACTGGGCTGCTAATTTAGCAAGTGCAGTGATTCACTTAACAACTGGGCTGCTAATTTAACAAGTGCAGTGATTCACTTAACAACTGGACTGCTAATTTAAGTGCAGTGATTCACTTAACAACTGGGCTACTAATTTAACAAGTGCAGTGATTCACTTAACCACTGGGCTGCTAATTTAACAAGTGCAATGATTCACTTAACAACTGGCTGCTAATTTAAGTGCAGTGATTCACTTAACAACTGGGCTGCTAATTTAACAAGTGCAGATTCACTTAACAATTGGGCTGCTAATTTAACAAGTGCAGTGATTCATAACAACTGGACTGCTAATTTAAGTGCAGTGATTCACTTAACAACTGGGCTGCTAATTTAACAAGTGCAGTGATTCACTTAACATTGGGCTTGCTAATTTAACAAGTGCAGTAATTCACTTAACAACTGCAGCAAGAAATGTCATAAAAAGGGCCCAAACTCACTTAACAGCTGTCTCGCTTAACAACATCAATTTTGGACCCAGTTGTGGTTGAGGTATCAGGGTCACCTGATCCCGTTTTGCTGCCACCTGACGAGCAAAGTCTACGGGGAAACCAGATTCACTTAACCACGTTACTCACGTATCTGCTGCAGCAGTTCACTTAACAACCGTGGCAAGAAAGGTCGCAAAATGGGGCGAAACTCACTTAACAACGGCTTCGCTTAGCAACGAAAATTTTGGGCTCAATAGCGGTCATAAGTCAACACGTACTGTAGAATTCTTTTTTTTAAAAAAAATCTCTCTTTTTATAATCGATGTTATTTAACCTGTTTGCTTTCTTTTGCTCATTTTGTGCAGTCTTGAAATCTTTCCCTGTCTTTTCTCCGCTTCTTCCCATTGCTGCGGTATCAATGTGATAAACTTTGTTCTTCGCAGACAAAATGATGTGCCTTAAAAAGCAGAGGGACAATGCTTTTAAGAAGATGTTTTCCCCTGCAGCCTAAGTTGACAACATGACCCATAAATAAGGGCCTCGAAATGCCTGCCTTCCCCCTCCTAAATTCGGTTAAAAGCAAAATAATCACAAATAAAATAAACTGGCTCACAGCAGATCCTATATGGATACGGTTCGTTGCAAACCCTCACCTTAAAAGAGGCAAACTTTTCAAAACATTTGTCCCTTTTTGCAACAACGCTGATAAAATTCTTGGTTGAGGTTTTTGCCTGACTTCTGCAAACATTCGGCTATATCGCAAAATTATTATTATTATTATTATTATTATTATTAAAACACGTCGGGCATTTCACGATAGTAACTCAAGGCTGGAAAAGATGGAAGATTTCTGGTCGATGCGTTTAGAATTTTTCTGCTTCTCCGCACCTCCCGTAACGTTACCGATTAATATCTATTATTTTTTTGGCTTCAGAATCTCTATCCAAAACCCGGTCAGGTTCCTCCTTCTTTGGTAACGCAGAAGAAACAGAGAATCAAGGTAATGTTTGAGTCGTCGGATATGTTTATGTGTGTGTGTGTGTGTGTGGTTCGCCCAGCACCGGAAATGTGAGCGCGTGGGCCGTCCACGCATGAGTGCGGCATCAAAAAAACAGGGCAATTCGCTCGCGCGTGCCTTCTGCACATTCATGAGGCATCAAAAACACAGCGATATACAACGGGATTGCACCCAGGCAGGTGCGTGGGCCCACTCGCAAGTTGCAACTACCAGTTCGCCCAAATTGGCAGCAGCCCAACACTACGTGTGTGTGTGTGTGTGTGTGTGTGTGTGTGTGTGTGTGTGTGTGTGTATGTATATCAAATCTATATTTGCTGATAAATTTGGTATAAAATGGTTTGTCGTGAATGCGACTGCTTGAGGGCCAGGGTGGATAAAAATCAATGATTTTTTTTAAAAAATCAAAAAAAAATCAGATTTTTTTTATTTAAATCGGATTTTTTTTATTTAAATCGGATTTTTTTTTATTTTTATCGAATTTATTTTAATAAAAAACTTTTGGGGTAAAAATCTATCGTAAGATAGTTTTCTATTTAAGATACATAAATAATTTAGTTTATTCAGCATGAAATGGAGCTTAGTTATGGAGCATGAGGCTGTCTATTCTGCAACACTGGGACTATCGGTGAGTCAACAGCGGGTCAAAGGAGTAGCAGAGATGACAGTTGCTCTTTAAAAATTATGATTTAAATCGTGATTTAAATCAAATCCACCCTGTTGAGGGCTCCTGGATTGGAGCTGAAAGGCAAAAGGGAAGCAAGTATGCTCCCTCCCACATGTTGGGGTTGACCAGGTGTCTCGATAAAAAATCACTTAATCTCTCCCCTGGCTCAAGCTGATGAAGAGAGGAGAACTTGTGGCTCAGAGGTTAATACAACTGCCTAACATGGAGGCAGCCAAAGTTCGAATCCGAGTAAGGGTATGGCTAGCTGATGAGAGCTAAATAGCTTGAAATAGATCTATACTAGTCTCCCTTTATTTCTTTATCAGCGAAATATAAATTTGGTATAAAATGGTTTGTCGTGAATGCGACTGCTTGAGGGCTCCTGGATTGGAGCTGAAAGGTGAAAGGGAAGCAGGATGCTCCCTCCCACATGTTGAGATTGACCAGGTGTCTCGATAGAAAATCAATCTCTCCCCGGCTTAAGTTGATGAAGAGAGGAGAACTTGTGGCTCAGAGGTTAATACAACTGCCTAACATGCAGGAAGCCCAAGTTCGAATCCGAGTAAAGGTATGGCTAGCTGATGAGAGCTAAATAGCTTGAAATAGATCTATACTAGTCTCCCTTTATTTCTTTATCAGCCAAATATAAATTTGGCTGATAAACCGGTTCGCTCAAATTGGCAGCAGCCCAAAACTATGTATGTGTGTATGTGTATATGTATATCAAATTTATATTTGCTGATAAATTTGGTATAAATGGTTTGTCGTGAATGCGACTGCTTGAAGGCTCCTGGATTGGGGCTGAAAGGCGAAAGGGAAGCAGTACGCTCCCTCCCACATGCTGGGGTAGACCAGATGCTTCAATAGAAAAGCACTTTATACGTGTGAGTGTGTTTTTCTTTCAAACCTGTGCTTTCATGAGTGAAATTGTCTTTGTGTGTTAATGGGTTTGGCTTTCCAGCGAAATTTCAAATAAAGTGCTTTCAAGCGCAGCTTGGTAGCCGTAAATGGAAAAAAGCCTTAAAGGGAATTTGCATAATTCATGGTCCACGTTGCAAGACGAAAAAGAAAAAAAAGAAAAGAAAGAGAAGAAAGCCAATCCCTAATCCAAATAATGTTATGGTCTGTGGGATTTTTTAATTTTTTTTTTTTTAAATGGCTTTATTGCAAACGGGGATGGTAGAAATCGTTTATCCGTGTTCTGGTCAGGTTATCGTATTCTAACCAGAGACAGGGGTTACTAAATCCATAGGTGTGGTGAAGCATGAGTATCTGCTTATTAGCAGATGGAGAAGAAGTGCTTGCATTGCAAAGTACCCCCTCCTCAATAGATTTCAGGAATAAGAAAAACAACTGGACATGATTTTAGCATTGTTGTTGTTGTTAGTTGCGAAATCGTGTCCGACCCATTGCGACCCCATGGACAACGTTCCTCCAGGCCTTCCTGTCCTCTACCATCCTCTGGAGTCCATTTAAGCTCATTCAGTGACTCCATCCAGCCACCTCGTTCTCTGCCGTCCCCTTCTTCTTTTGCCCTCCATCGTTCCCAGCATTAGGCTCTTCTCCAGGGAGTCCTTCCTTCTCATTAGGTGGCCAAAGGATTTGAGTTTCCTCTTCAGGATCTGGCCTTCTAAAGAGCGGTCAGGGTTGATCTCCTCTAGGACTGACCGATTGGATGGCCTTGTAGTCCAAGGGACTCGCAGGAGTCTTCTCCAGCACCAGAGTTCAAAGGTCTCAATTCTTTGGCGCTCAGCCTTCCTTATGGTCCAACTTTCACAGCCATCCATTGCAACTGGGAACACCGTAGCCTTGACTGTACGCACTTTTGTTGGCAGGGTGATGTCTCTGCTTTTTATGATTTAAAAATAAATCAAGATTTTATTTATCTCTGATTTTATCATAAATCAAGATTAATGAACAAGAACTTTGAGAAACTTTGGGTTCCAAGTTATTGCATAACCCTGTTCAGCTGCTGTGCTTTTAAGATGAACGTTTGTGCTTTTTGTCTCACTCAGTGACGCTCCTGCAGAGGCCGTGTCTATATGAAGGAAGGGGTTGAGGGATCGACTGAAGATGAGACGACTGAATCGGAAGAAGACTTTGAATTTAGTGAAAGAATTGGACGCTTTCCCAAAGGTTCCAGAAAGCTACATAGAGACTTCAACAAGCGGAGGAACAGGTAAAACCCTGGCGGTTTGTGCTTTGGGAATTCATGTAGTCCTCGACTTACGACAGTTCGCTTAGCGACCATTTGGTCCACTGAGAAAAGTGTCCATTTTTCACACATACGACCATTGCAGCGTTCCCTCTGGTCATGTGATTCAAATTTCCGACGCTTGGCAACGGACTCCTATTTATGACGGTCACAGCGTCTCGGGGGTGTGTGTGTCATGTGATTCCCTTTTGCGACCTTCTGACAAGCAAACCCAATGGGGGAAGCCGGATTCGCTTATCAACCGTGTTACTAATTTGCCAACTGCACTGATTCACTTAACAGCTGTGGCAAGAAAGGTCGTAAAATCTGACTCGCTTAGGTACAGAAATTTGGGGCTCGATGGTAAGTCGAGGACTGCCTGTAGAATCATAGAATTGTAGAATCACACGGCTGGAAAGGACCTTGGAGGTCATCTAGTCCAACCCCCTGCCAGGGCAGGGGTTCTTATACCATCCCGGACAAATGCTTGTCCTATCATTTCTTGAAGACCTCCAACGATGGGACACCACAACTCCAGAAGGCAAGCTGTTCCGAGGACTAGTACTGCAATGGCGAATCTGTGGCATGCGTGTCACAGGTGGCACCTAGCGCCTTCTCTGTGGGCACACGAGCCGGCGCCCCAGTTCAGCTCTGCTGTGCATGCGTGCACGCCTCCCGCCGGCCAGCTGGTCGTCGGGTCATTGCCACGTATGTGCGGGGAGTGTGTGGGGCCACACACGCATGCATGGGGGGCATGCATGGGGGCATATGCACATGCATGGGGGCAGGTTTGTGTATGCATGCACAGGGGGCGGGTCACGTGTGGGGGGCCGTGCGTGCACGAGCGGGGCACATGCGCAGGGCTCCGTGCGCTTTGGGCACTCGGTCCGGAAAAGATTAGCCATCACTGGATTACCAGCTGTGGCATGTAAAGATTGCATTCAGCAATATCAGGAAGGAGAAATCGAGAAAGCTGGAACAATGCAGAATGTTTATTAAGTGTAACTGCTTCCCAGTAAGACTCCGGAGCCTCAGATGTGACTTTGCTTAGATCTCCAGCTTTGTATATCATCCAAAATGGCCTCGGGAGAGACACGTCTCTTTGGGATTGCCCCTTGGGGGTGTGGCACAGATGCTTGACGGTATGGCTTATTTTGAGGTCCTTCTCAGGTCTTCTGAAGTTTGGTCACCTCACCACTTACAGTGGCTTCGCTTCAGTATGTTCTCTTCTGCATTTGTGAGCCCATAACTAGTCACAGGATTTGGGAAAAGATTCCAAACACCTGTGTGGAGATTTTGGGTAGCTACAATTACAAAAATATCTCACCCAAGATATTTATGGGCCAGATAACCAGATGCTTGATGATATGGCTTACTTTGAGGTCCTTCTCAGGTTTGGTTACCTCACCACTTACCGTGGCTTCGTTTCGATATGTTCTCTTCTGCATTTGTGAGCCCATAACTAGTCACAGGATTCTGAAAATACCCTCAAGAGCAACTTTCTTGAACCCGATGTCTCCATATTTTAAGGGAGATTAGAATAGTGCTGCTGGTTGAGATTTGTACATCCGGAGGACATCATATTGTGCTTTCCTGTCTAGAACTCACAATCTCCCACTTTTTAGGCCTGGTGCCTTAACCGCCAGACCAAACTGGCTGTCTATATAGAATCACTTAGCCTGTTACAGTCTATAGTTTCTCCCAGTCAATGCCGTTTTTTACCTCATTATGTTCTTCTTTTTTTCCCCCAGTTTCTCTAATAGCTTTTACAACCATGGCTCTCTTAACCATAATGGAGTTTACGGTCTATCGAGACACCTGGATGAAATACGAATACGAAGTGGACAAGGATTATACTAGGTAAGGCATTGCCCTCGATTACTTTTTTTAATATATTGATTGTACGTGACTTAATTTTTTTTTAAAAAAAAATACAATCTTGATGCCTTTAAAGACACAAGGCACTAGACACAAGAAGAGTTTTTTCCCCGAACGCCATCACTCTGCTAAACAAATAATTCCCTCGACATTGTCAAACTATTCACTAAGTCTGCACTACTATCAATCTTCTCATCGTTCCCACCACCCATCTCCTTCCACTTATGACTGTATGACTGTAACCTTGTTGCTGGTATCCTTAAGATTTATATTGACTGTTTCCTAATATGATTTGATTGCTTATTTGTTCCCTATGACTATCATTAAGTGTTGTACCTTACGATTCTTGACGAATGTATCTTTTCTTTTATGCACACTGAGAACGTATGCACCAAGACAAATTCCTTGTGTGTCCAATCACACTTGGCCAATAAAGAATTCTATTCTGTTCTATTCTATTCTATTCTATTTATTCTATTCTATTCCATTCCATTCCATTCCATTCCATTCCATATTTTCTATTCTATTCTATTCTATTCTATTCTATTCTATTCTATTCTACTATTCTATTCTATTCTATTCTATTCTATTCTATTCTATTCTATTCTATTCTATTCTATTCTATTCTATTCCATTCATTCTATTTCATTCCATTCCATTCCATTCCATTCCATATTTTCTGTTCTGTTCTGTTCTGTTCTATTCTATTCTATTCTATTCTATTCTATTCTATTCTATTCTATTCTATTCTATTCTATTCTATTCTATTCTATTCTAAAGGGCCACAGTTGCAAAATTCTTGTGTTAATTCTTGAGGTCTTGATAACAGGAGCATCAGGTGGTTAAAGAAAAACAAAAAGAAAATTATTGCGCGTCTTCTGGGACATAAGGAAGAAACAACAGCCTCGAAGTGGGACGTAAGGTAGAGCCAAACAGATTTGTTTAGGAACAGAGCTGTTAAGGGAAGATATTGCCACGTAATCAAGCTGCTTAAAATCGAGAAAGCTTGATTATCCCAGAAGCTCATTAGAGATTTAGTGAAAGGAAAAGGGGTTAGTTTACTGTATCTCAGTCAGAACTGCTTATATACATGCTTTAGCCTCCTGTTTATTAGTGAGTACAGTAAGGCAAGTCCTCCTTGATGTCGTTTTAATTTATATTTTATTTTATTATTTTAAATTTTATTTGTTTTATTTTATATTTTATTATTTTATTTTTACTTTATTTGTTTTATTTTAATCCCGCCTTTATTATTTTTACAAATAACTCAAGGCATGGAATATATTCAGCCCAACTTCCTCCTCCTAATTGTTGATTCCCCACAATAACAACAATCCTGTGAGGTGAATTGGACTGAGAGAGATTGACTGGCCCAAGGTCACCCAGCTAAGGCGGGACAACAGCTCATGGTCTTCTGCTGATTGGCCCAAAATCACCCAGCTGAATTTCATTGGCTAAGGCAAGACTAGAACTCGCAGTCACCTGGTGATTGGCCCAAAGTCACCCATCCAGCTTTCATGGCTAAGACTGGACTAGAACTCACCGTCTCTCATTTTCAAGCCTGGCGCCTTAACCAGTAGTCCAAACTAGTTCTCCTTCTAAGATCTCTCTTTCTTGATTTAAGAGAGGGGTGTCAAACTGGCATCGTCACGGCAGCGTCACGTGACGTATCATGACTTTTTCCACCTTCGCTAAACCGGGCATGGGAGTGGCCAGCGCATGACACATCTGGCCTGTGGACCGTGAGTTTGACAGCCCTGATTTAAGAAGAGTCCGCAGCCCTTTCCGAAGATTCAAACTCCATCTGTTCTTTGACAGTGTTTTGCAAAACACTCATTCCTCTTCTTGGGCTCATTTCATCAGTTCTGCTGAAATCCATTCAAATTCTGCCTCGGTATTATGGAGGCAACTTCTGTTTCCGGTGTGTGCATGCGTTCCGGTCACCTGATCTTCCGGTTTCTGGCGCGCATGCGCACATGAAAACCAGCACACCGGAAACCAGAAGCTCAGCTTCCTGGTGCAAGCATCCGCACCAGGGACCTGCTCTTCTGGTTACCAGCGCTCCCCCGCGCGCGAAGACCAGCTGGCTGGCACGAATGTGCGTGACAGAACCCGTGTGCCATAGGTTCGCCATCACTGGAATAGGACAAAGAAATAGAAAAGAATAGAATAGAATAGAATAGAATAGAATAGAATAGAATAGAATAGAATAGAATAGAATAGAATAGAATAGAATAGAATTTTAGGAGCCGAGGTGGCGCAGTGGTTAGAGTGCAGTACTGCAGCTACTTCAGCTGACTGCTAGTTCAGCAGATCAGCGGATCAAATCTCACCGGCTCAAGGTTGACTCAGTCTTCCATCCTTCCGAGGTGGGTAAAATGAGGACCCAGATTGTTGGGGGCAATATGCTATATATTATACTGCCTTTGGTGTAAGCCTCCCAGAGTCCTCGGAGAGTGGGCGGCATAGAAATATGACTAATAAAAATAAAATAAAGAGAATGGAGAATGGAGAATGGAATAAGAATAAAGAATAAGAAGGGGAGGGGAAGGGAAGGGAAGGGAGAGGGGAAGGGAAGGGAAGGGAAGGGAAGGGAAGAGAATAAGAGTAGAGTAGAATGGAATGGAATGGAATATTGTCCCTTTGAACGTACACTAATCGGCATACATTAAAGTGAAATTACGTTGCATACAGCTCTCAAAGGGTCTCCACTTCTAATATATATATACATAAACATGACAAGATTATTGAACCCGTGGCGGCTTTTGTTGCCGAAATTTATCTTTATATTCACTCAGAGAATTTTCTCTGTTAAGTGAATCCCACTCCCAATATTTTTTGCCCGTTTTTTTCCATCTTTCAAGCTGAGAGTTTACATGCATTTCTTGGTCTCACGCTGGCACGCTGTACATGCGCCTTTGGGGCACTGAAAACATTTTGCATCTCTGCTGGAAGCTGATGTTATTTTTTTAAAAACACTTTTGGAAATAATCATTTGTTTGTTTGGATTCTTTGGGCTGTTGTCATGGAGATAAATAAGCCATTTCTGCCTCAACCTGAAAGCTATAGGGCAGCGCTTGCAAATTTCAAGATACAGCAACTGTTGGTAAGAGGTCCCAGGGAAAAGCATTATTTTTAGTGAGTTTTCTCTCCTCCGCCTTCAGTTAAACATGATTATTTTGCTCTCATCCCCATGTTGCATCAGAGTTCACAAATGTTTTGATTCGCGCTCTTTGCATACTCCGGCGGTTTCTTCAATAAAGCACAGCATGGCATCACACAATTATTTTATCAGTGTTTCTTCAAAAAAAAAAAAAAAGAAGCACAGCATGTCTCTATCACAATCATATCTCGATTTAGACCAGGGTTGTCCAACCTTGGCAAGGTTAAGAGTTTTGGACTTCAACAAAAACTTGTGGCATTCTAGAAGTTGAAGTCCACAAGTCGTCTTAACCGGAGATGGGCTTCACATTCTGTCACCACCGATTCGCCCAGCGCTGGAAATTTGATCGTGCATGCGTGCGATGTCAAACAACGGAATTCGCTCACTCGCGCGTGCCATCCATGCATACATGCAGCGTCAAACAAAACGGGAATTCGCGTGCGTGCCATCCACACATTCGTGCAGCATCAAAACCACAGCGATACAGGACGGGATTGCGGGTGAGCGGGTCCACCTGCAGGTCGCCACTACCGGTTCGCTCAAACCGGTCTGAACCGGCTGAATACCATCTCTGGTCTTAACATTGCCAAGGTTGGACTCCTTTCTTTAGACTAAAAAACAGTTGTTGAGGCATTATTCTTCAGACAAGGTTTCTTCAGGCAGGAAGTTCTCTGTTCTCTTAAAAAAAACAAAATTCAAGGCAGATTTCTATTGTGGAGTTGTAAATCTTTCTTTAAATGGAAATGTAAGGTGGGTTCCTTGCTTTACTTGGAATATTGCATCCAGTTTTGGTCGCCACGATATAAAAAAAAGATGTGGAGACTCTAGAAAGAGTGCAGAGAAGAGCAACAAAGATGATTAAGGGACTGGAGGCTACAGTAAAACATATAAAGAATGGTTGCTGGAATTGGGTGTGTCTAGTTTAGTGAAAAGAAGGACCAAGGGGGACATGATAGCAGTCTTCCAATATTTGAGTGGTTGCCACAAAGAAGAGGTGGTCAAGCTATTCTCCAAAGCACAAGAAGCAATGGATGGAAACTAATCAAGCAGAGAAGCAACCTAGAACTAAGGAGAAATCTCCGGACAGTGAGAACAGTGAGAACAATTAACCAACTTGCCTCCAGAAGTTGTAAATGCTCCAACACTGGAGGTTTTTAAGAAGAGATTGGATAACCATTTGTCTGAAGTGGTGTAGGGTTTTGTGCCTAAGCAGGGGGTTGGACTAGAAGACCTCCAAGGTCCCTTCCGACTGTGTTGTTCTATTCTATTTTTTTCTCTCTCTCTGAATACAAGCAGAAGTTCAACAGACGAAGTGGTTCACACTCAAGTTGCGAAATTGAGGCTCTTAACAAAGTTGGCTTCTGACATTTTAATTAGCCTCCGAGGAGAAGGCTTCATGCAATGTAATTAACCCAATTAAATCCCAACCTGTTGCTTTCCAGATGTTAAGTTTTCCGCAGTGGCACCTCTTAGAAGGTGCTCGGTTGGAGAATATTGTCCCAGCAAACATTTATAAAAGTCTAGCTGATAACCTGGCATTGCCCGGGTATTTATCTATCTCAATCCTGTATTAGACAGGAAGAGCAACTTCATCCTGAGCCCTGATTTCGGCGAGAATTAAATTAGCTAAAAATGTTTTCCCTGTGCCCCCAGAAGCGTCAAGTAAAATGATCCCACCTTGTTGTTTTGCTAGCTGATCCATGATCATTTGGTATGCTTTTTTCTGATCTTGGTTTTATTGATCATGGCCATACATTTGTCCTCAAGAATAATCAAAGCCTTGTTGAAAATGTCCGGATCAAATGTAATTTCTAATGTTGGATTTTTCCTCTTACCAGAGGGAGCCCCCTTGTGGAGTACTGTGAAGCCGTTACTATGGCAACTCCACTGTACTGCACAGTAGAAGCCATTTTAAAGCAGTACAGTAGAAGCCATTTTAAGGCACAACAGGCTGTATCTTAACAGAACACACACCCCAAGGGGTGTTAGGGGTGTCTTACCCCCACAGTATTTCTTTCCAGAGAGTAAGTCATCTGTATACCAAGTTTGGTTGAAATTGCTCGAGGCGTTCCAGAGTTATGCTGGAACACACACACACACACACACACACACACACACACACACACACACACACACACTTATATATATATAGATTTGGGATCCAGTTTCTCTAAATGTTAGCAGTCTAGGCTTTTCCAAGGTAAAAATGACATGTTGGCTAGTTGGAACATCAGATTTCCAGTTTTCTTTATTTTGAAAAATCAGGAATATTGTTAAAGTTTTCACATTGCGGTGCAAGTTAATGACGTCCAAATAGTTACCACCTGATATGATGCTTTTTAAAGTTAATGCTGCTTAATCTTGGCACCTTCAAGTTATGTGGACTTCAACTCCCAAAATTTCCCAGCCAGCAATTCTCCTATTTTTGAAGGCATTTTTCAGAATCTGCTTTCATCTTTCTTGCTTAGACTTTTGGTTCCTCCTGCTCTTATGTTAAATGTCAAACAGTTGTGACTTTAAACATTTATGAAAAATTGTACAGGTAGTCCTCGACTTACAACGGTTTGTTTAGTGACGGTTCAAAGTTACAGTGGCATGAAGAAAAAAAATGACTTTTTGACCGTTTTTCCACACTTAATGACCATTGTAGTCGTCAAGTGATCAAACTTCAGTACTTGGCAGCTGGCTCTTATTTATGATGGTCGCAGTGTCCCAAGCTCAAATGATTCCCTTTTGCGACCTCCTGACAAGCAAAATCGATGGGGAAGCTTAACAACCGGGTTACTAATTTAACAACGGCGGTGATTCGTTTAACAAACGTGGCAAGAAAGGTCGCAAGATGGGGAAAAATTCACTTAACAACATACATTTTGGGTTCAGTTGGGGTCTTAAATCTAGGAGACTCTGTATCACACGTCAGGAGAATGACACTAGCACGATGGTGAAATTAACGTATTTGTGTTTTTCTTCTCTTCCAGTAAATTAAGAATAAATGTAGACATCACAGTTGCAATGAAGTGTCAACGTAAGTATTCTGATTCGAATCTTTGTTTTTGTACAGTACAGGGGTGGGATTCTACTGGTTCGGACCGGTTCGGGAGAACCGGTAACTCCGACGATCAGCTGGGAGCAAACCGGTTCGCTCCGACGATCAGCTGGACCCGCCTGCCTGCCCCTTCGCTTTACTTACCTTTATCTTCACAGCTGATTAGCACGGCAGAGCGGATTGCCACTCCTCAGCTGTTTTAATTCCCTCGCACTAACGCGGAAGGTGATTTTTCATTTAACTGCGCACACGTGCACCGCAAAGCGAAGCGCACGATCACCGAACCGGTAGTTAAACCAGAAGGATCCCACTACTGCTACAGTAGTTATTCAGGCTGGACTGACATATTACTCATGAAATCAAGATCGAAATCAGATAATGCTGGGCGAGATTCCTTTCTCCAAGCTTTGACAGATCTATTATTGAAAGTAGATCTTTTTGACGACTTTCCCTAAATTGGGACATGTGTTTTAATTCCTAAATATGTAACCAGTAACATCCATAAAAATCACTGCCTCGTATTATCCCTTTTTCCCACCATTGTTTCATTGCTGGTAAGAGATCGTTCTGTCAGCTGCCTTGAGTCACCCTGTGAGAGTAGAAAATAAATTTTCTAAATAAATGAAATAAATTTTTGCATGGATAGAAAAATACGATCTGATTCCAGATTTGTTTGTCGCCAAAACAACAGTTAGTTGAAACAGGGCCAACTAACATGTTACAAAAAATGTGAACTTTGATTTCACTTTAAATAAGTCTCGCTTTCCACGCACAAGTTGAATAGATATTTATTGTACTTAACCTGGTTTGGCTTTATTTAAACTAAAATTGGTTAATCCCAAGAAAGCCACAGATACACGGAAGTTGCTGGAATTCCCTCATAATAACTCCTTAGATTTTCTACAATAAATTACTTACAGAAATTAAACCATATTTCATTGGTTTCCTTTCAGCTTCTAAGGAGAAATGTGATAGCTGGTACAATCAATATCTTTGAAAAAAAATGATATGGATTTATATAATTTCAATAATTATCCGGGTTACTGGTATGGTTGACTTGCGATTGGGAGAATGTATAAATTAATATCTTTATATTAATATTGGGAGAATGAATAAATTAATATCTTTATAGCTTGCTGAGGAGTGGTGCGGTGGCTTAGAGGTGGAGCTCTCGCCTCACAATCAGGAGGCTGTGAGTTCGATCCTAGGTAGAGGCAGACATTTCTCTCTCTGGACACATTGAGAGTATATCTGCTGAACAAAACTCCGCATTGGCGACAGGAAGGGCATCTGGCCAGTAAATACTCAGCTCCATTCAGTTACCCAGATTTCACCCCGCTAGGGATTACGGGGTTGTTAAAAGAAGATGATTTATAGCTTGCGGAGGAAATGTCATTTGCACTGAATTGCTAAACATAGTTCTTTGTTTTGCCAGTAGTGTAAATTTTTTTCACTAATCTTGTGCATTAGAGTCATTTTTGCTTGGGAATCGTGCATGACACGTTCAACTTCCTTTGGTAACCAGATTACCAATATGGCAAAAATAAAATGAAAAGTTTTATAGCATCTTTAGGACCAAGCATATCGTTGCACAAATTTTTAAAGATTAGCTCCATTCTATGAAGCAAATAATCCAAATTTCTCTGAAAAAAGATGTATAGATTATAAAGCCGAACAGGTGTTTATTCCACTTACCAGATTCGGGTTTGTTTTAAAATAAAATCTGTTAATCCAAAGAAGGCCACACAAATTCTCTCTTTTTTTTTTCTCTCCCTTGCTTTCTTTTTCTCTCTCCCTCTTTCTCTGGAAAAACTAAACAATGTTTACCTCTTTGGAAACTAGCACTGCAAAGTATTTTCTTAATGCTGTCATTGTTGTGATTTTTTTTTTATTTTAAAGCTAGAAAGGGGACTTTTGAAATGGCTACCTTCTTCTTTTTTTTCTTTTTAAATCACATTGGATAGTACAAAAAAGAGAAGGAAGAAAAAAAGAGAGAAGCCAGGTGCAAAATTGGAGCTAATATTCAGCAAAATGCTTTGAAATGATGGCATCCATTAGTCTCAGCCAGTCCTTTTACCAACTAATGCATCTTGAATTACTTGTTCTTTACAGTACTAATAATCAGGATTTTACTAAGCAGTAGAAGCCGCAATATTTCTGCAGTCCTCATTAAGAAGAAAGCAAGGAGTTGAAAATTCCTTCTATTTTTTGAGGTGCTGCAGTTGGCTTGGTTCAAGATGCACAGGTTTCACAGTTTTCCCCATTTAAATACGAGCCAGTCGTGTGCTTCAGCTGCCAAAAAAGCCAACACAGTTCTAGGCTGCATCAACAGAGGGATAGAATCAAGATCACATGAAGTGTTAATACCACTTTATAATGTCTTGGTAAGGCCACACTTGGAATCCTGCATCCAGTTTTGGTCGCCACGATGTAAAAAAAGATGTGGAGACTCTAGAAAGAGTGCAGAGAAGAGAAACAAAGATGATGAGGGAACTGGAGGCTAAAACATATGAAGAACGGTTGCAGGAACTGGGTATGTCTAGTTTAATGAAAAGAAGGACTAGGGGAGACATGACAGCAGTCTTCCAGTATCTCAGGGGCTGCCACAAAGAAGAGGGAGTCAAGCTATTCTCCAAAGCACCTGAGGGTAGGACAAGAAGCAATGGGTGGAAACTAATCAAGGAGAGAAGCAACTTAGAACTGAGAAGAAATTGAAAATGGAAACAAAAGGGAGTGGGAAAAGAGAGAGGAGCAGGAAAAGGGTAGGAGGGGAGAAGAGAGGAAAGGAGAGAGAGGGATAGAAAAAGAGAGGAGGAAAGGGGAGAGAAAAGAGTAGGAGAGAGAGGGTTAGAAAAGGAAGAAAAAGAGAGGAGCAGGGGAAGTAGGAAAGGGAAGGAAAGAATGAAGAATGAAAGTAGAAAGGCTCAGAAGAAGGAAGAGAAGGGAAGAAGAAGAGGGAAAGTTGTGGTAAAATAAGAGGAAATGGTAAAAGGGCAGCCCTGAACAATTAACAATAATTAGTAATAGTTAAAAGACGAGATGAATGATTAATGATGGATAAGAGACTGTACATTTAAACATGTTTATGAGAAATAAAAATAAAAACTTTTCAAAAAAGAAGAAGAAGAACTGAGGAGAAATTTCCTGGCAGTTAGAAAATTAACCAGTGGAACAACTTGCCTCCAGAAGTTGTGAATGGTCCAACACTGGAAGTTTTTAAGAAGATGTTGGATAACCATTTGTCTGAAGTGGTGTAGGGTTTCCTGCCTAAGCAGGGGGTTGGACTAGAAGACCTCCAAGGTCCCTTCCAACTCCTATTTGTTCTATTCTATTCTATTCTATTCTATTCTATTCTATTCTATTCTAATTCTATTCTATTCTATTCTATTCTATTCTATTCTATTCTATTCTATATTTGTTAAAGAAATAAATTTACTGTCATGAATTGAGACCTGGATTAAAGGAACAGGTGGATCAACATTTCTTTTAACGATGGATATTTAGAAAAGAAACTGTTTATGTAACCCTTTACAAATTCTTATCTCTCCCTTTCAACATTTTTAAACAGACATTGGTGCGGACGTCCTAGATCTGGCAGAAACGATGGTTGCTACTGCAGATGGATTGGTCTACGAACCAGTAAGTGGGAGTTTCTTTTTTTCTTTTCTTTTTTTTGGAGGGGGGACGGGGGGGTCAAAGGTGCAGTGACACCTGGCTTGTTATGTAATTCCAGTGGCGAAGAACATCAAAACTACCATATTTTTCAGAGTATAAGACTCACTTTCCCCCTCCCCAAAAGAGGGTGAAAATTTGGGTGCGTCTTATACACCGAATGTAGCCCTGCCCACCCGCTGGCCCCCACCCTTTGGCCTCTGCCTCCCAGCAATTTACCTCCTTGCAACAAACAGCCCGTTTCAGCTTCAGCACAGCCTGATTAGCACAAGCAGCTGATTGTCGGTTGGATCAGCCTCCCGGCCCTCAGCTGTTTCAGATTTGCAGGGATTGCCATTGCCTAATGCCGCGCGGGCCTCCGCTGTTTGCTGCAAGGAGGCAAATTGCTGGGAAGCAGATTTTTTTTCCCCCTTGTGCTAATCAGGCTGTGCTGAAAATGAAAATGAAACTAAAGCAGGCTGTTTGCTGTTTGCTGCAAGGAGGCAAATTACTGGGAGGCAGAGGCAGATATTTTTTTTCTTGCTTTCCTCCCCAAAAAAGGTAAGTGCGTTTTATAGTCCGGAGCGTCTTATACTCCGAAAAATACGGTATTCATCCCACGATAATGCTGATTCTGAGCCTGTCTGGGTCTCCACAGTCGCAGAAAATATGACCAGATTTAACATCCACAGATTAGCCGTGAAATGCCACGTAGAGTCGTGAGCCACACACAGTCTCTCTAGTGAGAAGCCCAAGCAGAAGATGGATCTCTGTTCCAAAAATCTCACCCTCCAAATGTAAATTCGACTTACGGCCTGAAGCGAGCCCAACATTTCCATTGCCGAGCAAAGCGGTTGCTAAGTGACGTTTTGCCCCACTTTACGACCTCTTCGCCATCGTCGCTAAGCGAATCACTGCAGTTGTTAAGTGAACCGTGCCGTCATTAAGGGAATCTGGCTTCTCCCATTAACTTCGCTTGTCAGCTGGGAAGGTTACAAAAAGCGATGACGGGATAAATACATACCAGTTGCCAAGATTGTTGTTGTTATGTGCCTTTGAGTCAGTTTTGGTTCCTGGCAACTGCCTGGACCAATCCTTGCAGTTTTCTTGACAAAGTCTTTCAGAAGTGGTTTGCCATTGCATTCTTCCTAGGGCTGAGAGAGAGTGGCCGGCCTGCGGTTCCCATTTTCTAGCCTAGTTCCTTAACCACCTATCAATCTGATTACCGTGCTGCGTTGTGCAGCTTTCTTAGACTCGCAATTTTTTGTTTGAGAAACAATCGAAGACGGGTTTTGTCTCAACTTACGATGATTTATTTTTGTTTTAGGTGATATTTGAACTCAGCCCCATGCAAAGAGAGTGGCAAAGGTAATAATTCAATAATTATAATCATTATAATTCATGTCCATCCAAGGCCATCTTAGCTCAGCTTTAAATAAGTACCTCAATCATTTCACTGAAATGAGTTTGTTAAGGATATTATTGAATTACACCCGAAGTTGTGGTTTATAAAGCAGAGTACCGTTAGAGTTTTTACGCACGGAAATGTTTTTGAGAGTAATTGTGAATAACATACAGAGAAACTGGGTTTTATAGTATTTTATTTTTAGGGGGAAAACAAAATCATAGTCCTTTAACAATCCAAGTCTTAGCCATATAAAGTGCAATATGAGATCAATCCAGGGATATAAAATCTTCTTACCAGTTTGTAGAAAAATAGAAGGAACAATCAGGAACAATATAAGAACAGTTCAATAAATACCAGAAAGCAGTAAATAAATAATCATGATCAAACAATTGACCATTCAGAGAGATCAAAAAGTTACGGCGTAGCAGCAGGTAAAAATGGTGTAGTGTCCATACTAACCATAATTTAGCTCTCCTTAAATACATTGGCTGCAGAAATCCTGCATAAATCAGGATTTATTTATTTATTTATTTATTAAATTTCTATTCCGCCCTTCTCCAAATAGGACTCAGGGCGGTGCACAGCAAAGGTAAAAACAGAGCATACAAAATTTAAAAAACAGTATTAAAATAATTAAATATTTTGGCCGTAAATTAAAACAATGGATGCAGAATGACTCAGCACAGTTCTTAAAGCTACATAATAAATTCACATAATATAAACATACAATGTTGGCTTATATATTTCCTGGCCAGCCAATTAGGCAATAACCATTTCCTAACAGAGTTGTAGCTCTGCAGTGTTCACTACTAATGTTGCTTTATTGTGCAAACTGATTGGTCTCATTCGAGACAATGATGAATCCGCATAGAGACGGGAGGTTGAACAACTAGCCTCGTGGTGCGACCGGAACAATCTGGAACTGAACACACTCAAAACCGTACAAATGGGGGTGGACTTTAGGAGAAACCCTCCCATGCTTCCACCTCTCACAATACTAGACAACCCAGTATCAACAGTAGAGACCTTCAAATTTTTAGGTTCTACCATATCTCAAGATCTAAAATGGACAGCTAACATCAAAAACGTCATCAAAAAAACACAACAAAGAATGTTATTTCTGCGCCAACTCAGAAAGCTCAAACTGCCCAAGGAGCTGCTGATCCAGTTCTACAGAGGAATGATTGAGTCTGTCATCTCCACCTCCATAACTCTCTGGTTTGGTTCTGAAACCCAACAAGACAGACACCGACTTCAAAATGGATAATTAGAACCGCAGAAAAAACAATGGCTACCAACCTGCCTTCCATGCAGGATCTGCATACTGCACAAGTCAAAAAGAGGGCTGTGAAAATATTTACAGACTCCTCGCATCCTAGACATAAACTGTTTCAACTCCTACCCTCAAAACGATGCTATAGAACAGTGTACACCAGAACAACTAGACACAAGAACAGTTTTTTCCCAAATGCCATCACTCTGCTAAACAAATAATTCCCTCAACACTGTCAAACTATTTACTAAGTCTGCACTACTATTAATCATCTCATCGTTCCCACCACCCATCTCCTCCCACTTATGACTGTATGACTGTAATTTTGTTGCTTGCATCCTTATGATTTATATTGATATTGTTTCCGGATTGCTTATTTGTACCCTATGACTATCATTAAGTGTTGTACCGTATGATTCTTGATGAATGTATCTTTTTTCTATTCTATTCTATTCTATTCTATTCTATTCTATTCTATTCTATTAAATGTTTCGCTGTTGTTAGTTCTGCTGTAGGACAAAGAGTAGTAGAATCTGGGGGTGGAGTGAAAAGAGGCATCAGCCTAGAATCCCTACGTAGCCACAATAGAATTTAGTCCAACCTCCCTTGAATACCGTTGGCGGTTATCTAACCGTTATCTACCGTTGACAGTTATCTAATTCTAACCAGGTTGAGAAGATTTGTTGATTAGTTGAGAAAATTCTTGTGCAATTCTTGGCTTTTAGCAACAGACCAGTTTAATTGAACCTTCACATGTCTTTCATGCCTGATAGAATTCTTTATTGGCCAAGTGTGATTGGACACACAAGGAATTTGTCTCCGGTTCATAAGCTCTCAACGTACATACAAGCAACCAAGAGATAAATCACGATCATAATGATCATAAAACTACATTCAGCATAAATCATAAGACGCAACACTCAGTGACAGTCGTAGGATAACAAATAAGCAATCGACGTAAATCATACTAGGATAACTAAATAAAACAATATAAATAGTAAGATACAAGCAACAACATTATAGTCATAAGAAGATAAAGAAATAGGTAATAGGAAAGATGAGAAGGATATTAATATAGCCTACAAATCAGTTTGACAGGGTTGTGAGAATTAGTTGTTTAGCAGAGTGATGGCACGGGGGAAAATACACAAACACACATACATAACTATCTATATAATACAAATAACTATAATGTATGATAGATAGATAGATAGATAGATAGATAGATAGATAGATAGATAGAT